TTCATATCTTGTCATTCATATATATGTCATTCATATCTGCCTCAGAAATGAGCCCTGAGGCAGCAGCTCTGCAGTGCTGGCCACCAGGCCGGGCTGCCATGGGAGGCTTCTGGCCATGCCCTGCAATCAGCTGCTGCTGCCAAGGTGCCTTTGGTACCTCAGGCTCTGCCTGGCACAGCTCCCAGCACGGCATTCTGCCCTTGTGCCTGAGGCCTCCCCTGTGCTGGGGCTGGCCTGGGGCTTTTCCTGCAGCAGGACCTGCCCTGCTGATGGCACAGGAAAGGCAGTTCCTGCTGGAGCAGGAAGCTCTGCCTGCAATGGGCTCCAACAACGCCAGCAAGGCCCTGTTTGCAAAGCCCCCAGTGGGAAATGAAGGAGGGGGTCATGCTGCTTTTGGGGTGAATAAAACTGAAACCAGCCTGACTCCTCCATCTCAAAGTTCCACATTCTCAGAGGGAGCTGGAGCTCTGGCAGAGCTGGAAAAATCCCCAGAGAAAGACACAACCAAGGGACAGCACTGAGAGCTTCTGCAGAGCTGCCAAGCTGGACCATCCTGGGCACATCTGACTGACAGGGCAGCACTTCAGACTAGAAAAGCCCCGTCCCAAATTTTAACAGCAGCATCTCCTGACATTTCCCTTCTTGTGGAGTGTGGAGATTCCTCCCCGCAGTGGAGACACTGCTCAAGGTCACAGTTCCAGGCTGAGCCAAAGACTCTGTCCCACCATCATTGTTCTGCTTAATTACTAGTTTTGCTTTAATAAAATTGCTTTGAAATCACTTCCTAGTGCTCTATACAATATAATATGTTACAGCTCTTATACCTTAGAATAAATATTTCTGATTATTTTGAAGATAATTGTTTCTAATCATTACCATTATAGAATATATATATAAAAATACCTCCAGCTTGCCAGCCTTAATTCTGTGGGACAAATTCTATAAAGGTCTAATTCCACCTTTATAATTCTTTACATAAAAACTCTTGAAAACTCTAGGTCTGGGGTTGGAATCAGCTGTTCTAAGGCTCCTCGCACACCAGGGATTTATAAATCCTGGAGGTCCTTGGGGGTATTTNNNCATTGGCAGTCCCATCCCCAGGGTCATGGGATCCCAGATGCACAGAATTGGCTGAGCTGGGAGGGACCCATCAGGATCCTGGAGTCCAAGTGCTGGCCCTGCACAGGACACCCCAACAATGCCAGCCTGGGCCTGGCAGCGCTGTCCAAATGCTGCTGGAGCTCAGAGAGCCCTGGAGCTGGGAGCCTTCCCCGGGGAGCCTGGGCACTGCCCCAGCAGCCTCTGGGGAAAAACCTTTTCCTGAGATCCAACCTGAGCCTGCCGGGACTCAGCTGCAGCCGTTCCCTCCAGTCTTGTCCCTGGGCACCAGAGGGAAGAGGTTCCCACAGCCCCAGCCAGGGACCCACTCCCAAGGCTGTTGCCATGGCCACCAGGGCTGGGACCAGCTGGGATGCTCGGTTTCCAGGGGCCTGGGTTCAGGAATGGGATTCCCCAGTTTCCTCCTGCTGCTAAAACCGCACTGCCGCTCGCTGCCCTCTCACCTCCCATGGAAAGAACAAAAGGCAAAGATCCCAGGCCAGGATAAGAACAATTTACTGGGAACAGCAATGAGACAATGAAGAAACAGTTAGAAAAACCATATTGATAATAGAGGGGATAAGAAAAAAAATTAATAGGGAAAACTACAACATCAACAACTGGCTCTTCCTGGCCACATACTTCGCCTGCCTGTAAAGGACACCCTTCTCCTCGGGGAGAGAGAGAGTCCCTTTCCTGCCTCTGGCAATGACCTGAGCTGGGAATGAATGTTATGACAGGGTCCTGGCCAGACCCTCATGTTCTTCCATCCCACATCAGGTCATTGGCAGGGGCAGGAACAGGGACAGGTGTCTTCCCAGCATGGATTACAGTGAACATGGATCACAAGAGCTCTTCCCAATGTGGGTTCTCCAACAGGGGATATAGCTGGAGCCAGGCACGAAGCTCTCCCTGAAGGGACATTTGCAGGGATTTCCTTACCGGTGACTCTGTTGGTGTCTGGTTAAGTTGGAGCTCTGGGTGAAGCTCTTCCCACACTCATGACGCTCGTAGGGCCTCTCCCCAGTGTGGATGTGCCGGTGGGTGACGAGGTGGGAGTTGTACTTGAAGCCCTTCCCACACTCCCCACACTTGTAGGCCCATTCCCTGGTGTGGATCATCTGGTGGCTGATCAGGGTGCTGCTCTTCCTGAAGACCTTCCCACACTCCAAACACTTGTGGAGTTTCTCCCCATCATGAAGCTGCTCAAGGACCACCAGCTCAGAGCTCTGGCTGCCTTCCTGGCACAGGGTACGCCTTTCGTCCTCAGAACAACCTGGGCTGGGTTTGCAGCCCCTCATCCTGCGGGATCTCTGTGTATTTTGTTCCCCATTGGATTCCTGTGCTATGGAGCTGCTCAAAATGGCCTCTTCCATGATGTTCTGCTGTGGACATTTGTCCACACTAGACTCCATCCTCAGCTCCTTGTCTGGGGGAGGAAGGACAAGGACAGGATGGGATTTGCCTCCATGCCAGAGGGAAGGAAAAGGAGATCCCCCCAGTGTTTCCCCATCAGGATAGTGTTGGAATCGTGATTGTCCTGCAGCTGGGGGCCATGCTGGGCTGGGAGCAGGAAAGAGGGGGAAAGGGGCACTGACTTCCTCCTTACCTGCCTAGGTATTGCAGGGCACCTTCCTCGTAGCCTTCTCCTCCATTGAGTCAAGGTTTTGGAATTGGAAATCCTGTTTTGGGAGGAAAACAAGAGATGAGTGCATTGAGTTTTGTACTGGTTTGAGGTCAAACCAGGGGGGAAAGTCTAAGCCAGAATTACAATTTAATAAGAAAATTAAGATCAAGGCAATGATACAGAAACCCTGCCTTAAACTGACACAGTCAGGATCTAACCTGCCACCCTGTTGGTCAGGGTGCTGGTAGCAGTCCCATTAAATGGTGGCTGCAGTCCTGTTGCAGTGATGACCGTGCTTCCCTCGAAGCAGTGATCCTGTAGAAGGGTCTGGTCTTCCTCTGAAGGTCCAGTGGTGCTTATGGAGCTCTTGTCCTCTGGGAATCCAGTAGCCAAGGTGCTCCTAGTGCTGCAAGCTTCAACTTATATGCAGGTAGGAATGCTTGGCTCCTCCCCCTGGGCAGAGCATCCCACAATGGGATGATGTCATTTTATCAGTCCTGCAGGGACACTCAGTGGCCCATTAACAGAAGATAGCCCCTGGAGGGTGTTATCAGGGCTGAGTCATGGAAGAGATAAAGAACACTGCCCCACCTGTTTATAACACTTTGTGAGGATGATGATGGAAAACATGCATTTGGTTACATCTTGCATTGTAACCTGAAACAGTGGGGTAATCCCTGCTGGTGGGGTGAACACCACCTCCCTTACCCAAACTGGCTCAGGTGTAAAACCTCCACCCCGAGAAGGCCACACACACAGGGGACAATGTCACACTTGCCGCACCCCACTGAAGCGCTCTGTCCCTGTCTCTTGCTCTCCCCCATTTTCTCTTTCTTTTCATCTCTCTCTCTTTACCTCACATTTACTGTTCAATAAAATCTACTTTAAATTTGGTCTCATTAACGCCTTAATTGGGGCAGAGGTATCTCTCTAACAATGTTATTAACCAGATTGTGACATTATTTTGGCACTGTTCTCTGACCCCAAGTGCCTTTGACAACAGCATGGTTCCCTCCTCTGAGGAGCTTGTGGCTCTTTCTTGCTGGAGGAACCCTTGGAAACTTGGACACAGCTTCCTCTGAGCAACTTATGGGAAAACTGATGCAGAAAATGGCTGTTGTGGGTGGCCAGTATAAAGAAAATATTTTGTTGTCATTCCTTGGAAAGTTTGTTCAAATCAGTGGAGAAAAGGGAACGAATGTTACCAGTGTGACAGACAAGGTTCATTCACCCCAAGGTGAGGAACACAAGGCTGCTAAAGTGCCACAGGAAGCCCAGCTCAAGGAGCTACATTCCTGAATAACTCCCAAATTCACAGGCTTAGGGGCTTTGCCAAATGTGAGAATCATTATTCTCTTCGTCCCTGTCACCTTTGTGACAATCACACAAAGCTCTCCCTTGCTTTTAATAATCTGTACTGTGCCGAATTTCCACTTTTCTTTTATGGGAACCTGCCAGCAGCTGAGCTGGAGCTGTGCAGGAATCGATGGAACTTGGAATTTTCACACAATTGCTTCTATTGTCAGTTTATTAATGCTTAGGATTGCTTTGCATTTTCATCACATGCTACTTGTGGGAAAATCACATATTCATCAAAGTGGTTTATGCAGAGTTGGATTTGATTTCTGCCAAGTTTATTTTGTCCAGTGCCCAGGGGATGCTCAAGGGGTCTCTGTTCGTGCCTCTCACCCTGGGGAATGCTTGGGAGGGGCTTGTGGGGGCTGTGCCTCTCCCTGTCCTTGTCCCTGTCACAGCAGGCCATTCCTCAGGGGATGTCCCTGTCACCCCAGGTCATTCCCCAGGGGGTCTCCATCATTCTCACACCAGGGAATGCCTGGGGGTCTCCCTCCCTCTCACCCTGTGCCAGGGGGTGCTCGGGTCAGTCTCTGTCCATCTCAGCCCAGGGAATGCTCAGGGCAGTCTCTGTCCCCTCGCCCTGGGTGATGCTCGGGTGGTCTCCATCCCTCTGGCCTCAGGGAATGCTTGTGCAGGGCTGGGGACCAGGGGCTCTGTGTCCCTCTCACTGCTGAGGGTGCTTGGGGCTGGGGGGGCTCTCTGACCTTCTCATCCTTGGAGGGCCCTGGTGGTCTCTGTCCCTCTCAGCCCTGGTGTGACCCCACCCAAACATCATCGGGGTCAGAGGGACAGAGACACCCCCAAACCCCCAGAAGGGCTGAGCCTGGGATCATGCTCATACTCCTATTAGTCTGTTTAGCCCAGAAATGAGTTCTGCACCTTCAAGGCTGGTTCTGAGAGCGAAGGAAGGCAGGAAGTGAGCAGGTTTTTTTAGAATTTTCTCTCAAAACTAAATTACCTAAAATCACTACACAGTTATTCCAACCTTTTATTCCCTCCAGTAAGTTCTTCATGCTGTTATTTCATTCACAGATTGTTCGACTTTTAAGTGCCTTATTTCCATTAATAGCAACAGAATAAGTTAAATTTTGTTGTACGTATAACTTTTAAGGATATTGATTTTTGATTCTGTGATGTTTAATTTAATGCAAATTTAGAGTTGATAAGATTAAGAAAAGTTAGGCTTCATTATTGTTAGATTTGAGCAATTATTAATTACATTATATTAATTAGTTACATTATATTAATTTGAATTCCTGTTGTTCTGGATTGAAAGATAATGTGTGTATTCTATTTGCCATTTGTCACAGGTAGGGCAGTTATCGTCTGTTAATTGAGCAGTAAATTGGACCCCCAATGGCTCCCACAGATCTCCAAACACCTGCAAGGACCTCCAAGCTTTCTAAACTTCTTTTTGTGAGAGGAGCCTTGGAGCAGCTGTTTCCAATCCTAGTCCCTGACTTTCAAGATTTTGTATGTAAAGAATTATAAAGGTGGAATGAAACCTTTCTAGAATTTGTCCCACAGGATTAAGGATGGCAAACCAGAGATATATAACCTATATATTATCTATATTATCTATCTATCTATCTATCTATCTATCTATCTATCTATCTATCTATCTATCTATGCCTGAGGAGGGCTGGGAGGATGCCAGGGACATCCTGCAGTGACATCCCCCCTGTCCCACTCCGGGTGAGCTCAGTCCCAGGCCTGACCATGATCCTGGTCTCAATCTCACTCCACGTTTAGACACTCCACACAGTTCTGTAGTTAATATCATCCAAGTGCCAGACTCGTCTAGCCCCAGACCCATTCCCAATCCCAGCCCTAAAACCAATCCTATGTCTAGCCTTAACCCCAATCTCAGCTCTAATCCAAATCTCAGCTCTAACTCCAACCTCACCCCCAAATCCAACCCCTTCCTAAATCCTCAGCCCCAAACCAAATCCCAGGTCCAGCCCTTCTGGGGGTTTGGGGGTGTCTCTGTCCCTCTGAGCCCGATGATGTTTGGGTGGGGTCACACCAGGGCTCAGAGAGACAGAGACCCCCACGGCCCCCCAGGGATGAGATGGTCAGAGAGCCCCACCAGCCCCAAGCACCCTCAGCAGTGAGAGGGACACAGAGCCCCTGGTCCCCAGCCCTGCACAAGCATTCCCTGAGGCCAGAGGGATGGAGACCACCCGAGCATCACCCAGGGCGAGGGAACAGAGACCCCGGAGCATCCCTTGGGCTGAGAGGGACAGAGACTGCCTTGAGCACCTCCTGGGCACTGGACAAAATAAAATTGGCAGAAATTAAATTTACCTCTCCATTAATCATTTTGATGAATATTAGATTTTCCCAAAAGTAACATGTGATGAAAATGCAAATAAATCCCAAACCTGAATAAACTGATAATAGAAGCAATGATGTGTCAATTCCAAGTTTCATTGGTTTCTGCACAGCTCCAGCTCAGCTGCTGGCAGGTTCTCATAAAGGAAAAGTGGAAATTCGGCCCAATACAGATTAAAAGGAAGAGAAAGCACTGTGGGGCTGTCACAAGGGGGACAGGGACGCCCTGGGGAATGGCCTGGGGTGACAGGGCCAGGGACAACCCCCACAAGCCCCTCCCAATCATCCCCCAGGGCAGAAGGCACAGAGACCCCTTGAGCATCCCCTGGGCACTGGAGAAAATAAAATCGGCAGAAATTAAATTTACCTCTCCATTAATCATTTTGATGAATATTAGATTTTCCCAAAAGTAACATGTGGCGAAAATGCAAATAAATCCCAAACCTGAATAAACCGATAATAGAAGCAATGATGTGACCATAAGTTGCTCAGATGAAGCTGCATCCAAGTTTCCAAGAGTTCCTCCAGAAAGAACCACAACCTCTTCAGAGGAGGGAACCATGCTGTTATCAAAGCCACTTGGAGTCAGAGAACAGTGCCTAACTCGCTGTGCCAAAATAATGTTGCAAT